CAAAAACAAAACAACAAACAAACCGAACTATTTTGCAAATGAATTTTTTAAAACAACAAACCGTTTTTCTCTTTCTTTTCAACGTTCTTTTTTGTTTGAAAACTGAAATAATGAAAACAATCGCATTTTGTATGAACTTTTCGAACCGAAACCCACAACAAAAAATCAATCAATCAATCGAAAACCATCGTGAATTTGTCAATTTTTGAAACACAAAACCAATATATATATTATATAAATAAAAATATCACCACCTCCATGTTTGTTGCCACCTCAATGCCTCACGTATAGAAAACCACCTCAGACACCAGCCGAGTAAGTCTATGTACAAAAAACAAATGTGAACAACAAATGAAACCAGAATGCTAACCAAGACTAAAACCCCTAGAGTTATGTTAAGATCGTCCCCCGATTAATCCGCCTGTGCGTGTCAGTAAACCACTCAAAAAAAAAAAAAAAAAAATAAAATAGTTTCTAAGGTGTAAACTGTACCTCTGTAGCAAGCACTACTCAAACACAAAATCTTACTCACCACAACTCACCACTCCTGTGCCATCGAAGCAATCCCTTTCTTTTTTGGTGTGTTTCTGTTCTGTTTCTGTTTTTTTTTTTATAACTAGAGTAGTATTGCCATACGTAGAATGTAGAAATCTAATGCTTTCTCACATCAGCACTTTGGTGGCTACTAATTGTAAAAACAACTCTGTGACTTTCGGATCCAAATCAAACCAAATAATATAAATATAATCACAAAACAAAAAAAACAGGCCGTAAGAAATTCCGTCAAAATTCTGTAATTAATTTTAGTACCTAGACATTACTCGTAGTACTAGTGGCTATCGAAAAAAAAAGAAAAAAAAATAGTGCTGCTCGACAGATTAGACTAATAGTGTGCTTTCTCATTCCCGAACCACATCGATCCGATCATCAGAGGAGAGGGCGACCCAGAGTTCATCAAGCGTCAGGACCAGAAGCGCTCCGACCTCGATGAGCAGCTGAAAGAATACATCAGCGAGTGGCGCAAACAGAGATCCAAGGAGGAGGATGAGCTGAAGAAGCTGAAGGAGAAGCAGGCCAAGCGCAAGGTGACCCGCGCCGAGGAGGAGCAAAAGATGGCCCAGCGCAAGAAGGAGGAGGAGGAGCGCCGCGTCCGCGAGGCCGAGGAGAAGAAGCAGCGCGAGATCGAGGAGAAGCGCATGCGCCTCGAGGAGGCCGAGAAGAAGCGCCAGGCGATGCTGCAGGCCATGAAGGACAAGGACAAGAAGGGCCCCAACTTCACCATTGCCAAGAAGGATGCAGGCGTGGTAATTATATGAGATTCCATCAATGCCGGCTGCTGATACGCCACCGTTTTCCCCAAAACCCCCACCCCGCCCCATCTGTCTCTCTCTCTCTCTCTTCCTGTTTTCGTTTTTTTCTTTTTCGTTCTTTTTGATTTCTTTTTGAAACCATATGAACTCCTCATGTGACCACCAACAACACCACCATCACCACCACCACCACCACCACCAACCCACAACCCATCGTTTCCATCGATCAATCGCATTAATCGTCGGTTTTTGAACTCATCGATCATTTGTAATCGTTAATCGTTTGTGTTGCACCTGAATCGATCATCCACAATCGTTTATCGCTTGTGTTTGACTTCATCGATCATTGTATTGGATTTCATCAATCTTTCACGATCGTTAATCGTCTGTGTTTGCATAAATCGATCATTTCGACATTTCTCAATCGTTAATCGTCTGTGTTCATATCGATCGCCTAAAAAATATGCCTCTAAAAACACTACACTACAATGTGAAACTGAAACAACAAAACACCATTTTGTTTTCTTTTTTCTTTTACACAACACAACAAACAAACAAACAACACACGCATGCACACACACCAAACAAACAACAAACAAACAAAAAAACACGAACAAACAAATTGCCACTCTCTTTTGCGCTCTTTTCTCTGTGTGTGTCTATCTCTCTCACTGTTTGTCTCTCTCACCACGTTTGTACCGCACGTACCGAAAATCAAATCTCAAAAATCCGAAAAAAAAACCAAAATAAAAAACACAACGAAATGTGTCTGCATTGCAAAAATAAATAAACTAAAAATAAATATTAAAAATGCATCCTGCGCATAAATCGATTCGAACCACCAAAAAAAAAAAACAAAAAAAAATCGCCACATGAAACAAAAAATAGTTGGGACTCTCGTCCGCCGCCATGGAACGCAACAAGACTAAGGAACAGTTGGAGGAGGAGAAGAAGATCTCGCTGTCGTTCCGCATCAAGCCCTTGGCCATCGAAGGATTCGGCGAGTCCAAGCTGCGCGAGAAGGCCCAGGAGCTGTGGGAGCTCATTGTCAAATTGGAAACTGAGAAGTATGACTTGGAAGAAAGGCAGAAACGTCAGGACTACGATGTGAGTATTGTCCATCCCCCCCCATCCCATAACCCCAGAGATCCCAACCTGACAGCCATCTCCATTGACAGTTGAAAGAGTTGAAGGAAAGACAGAAGCAACAGCTCAGGCACAAAGCCTTGAAGAAGGGTCTCGACCCAGAAGCTTTGACTGGCAAATACCCGGTAAGTAATCCCCAGAACTTGAACCTGGTACTCCTTGCTAACCTGGTACTCTGATTACAGCCCAAGATTCAAGTCGCCTCCAAGTATGAGCGACGTGTGGACACCCGCTCATATGACGACAAGAAGAAGCTCTTCGAGGGTGTAAGTATTTGGTTTCCTTTTGCAAAGGCCAACAATACTTGGGTTTTTTTTGTGGGTTGCCTGTTTTGTAAAACTCTCTCAATATTACGCACATATAGGGCTATAATACGGTCTATGCGGAAACCTTAGAAAAGACCTGGCAAGAAAGACAGGAAAGATTTACTCAGCGCACAAAATGTAAGCGTCCGCTGCGCCCTACATGTCTACGTGTCTCTCTCTATTTATCTATCTATCTACCTTTTGTTTTATGTTTATGCCATAAACTATGTTTTCTGTTCGTATCACTACTATCGAAAGAACAGTCAGTCACGTCAAAGGGTTGGGCGTTTGAAACACTACTAAAGTAGAATCACGTCAAAAGGTTTGGGTGTTAAAAACACTACTTGAAAGTACAGTTACGCCAAAAGGTTGGGAATTCGAAACACTACTTGAAAGTACAGTCAAAGAATTGACATAGGAGCTTGGGGCTTTTCATAGGCCATTTCGGGGGCTGACAACCAATAACGCACCTAACGTCTACTCTCTTTTTTATCTCTTTCTATGTTTTATGTACTATTTTTCATAATCACCAACTGTGTACACCTTGTACCGTGCTCATTAAATCACACACCAAAACACGATCAAAACACTATGACACACAGGGCTGGGACGCCATCTCCAAGGACTCCAGCGAGAAGATCTGGAACGAGAAGAAGGAGCAATACACCGGCCGTCAAAAATGTATGTACTGTAGATCGGATGCGAGATATGCATAGAGCTAGTGACAACTGGGGATCTAAATGGACCCTCCAAATGGACGACGACGACAACAACAGAACAACATTCATTAATTTGTTCATTGTCGTGTTGTGTTTTTGTTTTTTGGTTTACTTTTCCGTTACCCCCGGAGCTCTCTCGAGCTCCTTCTTCTGATTACCCCCATGTATATGGTTGCAACCTAACTAATCTGAATCCGATATCTGTTATCCTTAGCCAAACTGCCAAAGTGGTTCGGCGAGCGACCAGGCAAGAAGGCCGGTGAGCCCGAGACACCCGAGGGCGAGGAGGACGCCAAGGCCGATGAGGACATCGTCGAGGATGATGAGGAGGTCGAGGAGGAGGTCGTCGAGGAGGACGATGAGGAGGCCGAGGAGGATGAGGAGGAAGAGGAGGAGGAAGAGGAGGAGGAGGAGGAAGAGGAAGAGGAGGAGGAAGAGGAGGAGGAGGAGGAAGAGGAGGAGGAGGAATAGACCAATCCAATCCACACTCTCGGCCCGCCCTCGCGCACCACTTTCCTTCACCACTTTTCGTAAAAACAAACACTCTACATTTAAATACCAAAGCCAAAACAATTTTAATAAAAGTAAAAGAATGAACTAAATAGTTATGATATCTTAGCTTATTCGCCCAACAACTTGCTATTCAAAATTAAAAAAAAAACTCAACATCTTTTTTATTGAATCGAGAAATGTAAGATTTCTTTAAAACAAAAATAAAACATCAAAACCAACACCAACTAAGTCAAATACTAGCAAAACCAGAAACAACCAACCAACCAAAAAAAGATATTAAAGTGTGTTACGGCATCATATCTATGAACAATTCCTGTTGTTTGTGTGCATGTTTGTGTGTATCGATCGGGTCTTCATATCAGCGTTGTTATGGCGGGGAAATATGCACCCAATAGAGGTCCTTGTAATATCCCAGTTAAAGATGCCTGGTTATTTTGGTTCCCGACAATCTGGTGCCCGAAATATTGCGAAGACACTTCAGAATTCTGAGCTCAGCACTTTTAAATGCACTTGGTTTCTGACCATTCTAAGAATTCGACATTCCTATCGAGGATAAATAATTGATTTAAGGCATTTAGTTGCCCTAACTTTTAACGTATCACACTCTGACATAAAATAGTTCGAATTTGTCTGAAAATATCAATTTGCCTAAAAGTATGCAATAAAATAATATAAAAGATTCAGTTAAACAAATTTTCAAATGTGTATGCGATTTATGTTTCTCAAGCGTAATTGCATTTAATTCTTATGATCCGATATTAATATAAAAGCTATTCAGCAATTGATTAAGAAAGGTTACTTTGGCAATGGAAAGTCGGACTTATAGAGCATCAGATATCGACACATTTTTATATTAACCTATAACATGGCACAAATTATTTTAGCTGTCAAAGATTTCGAAGTTTTGCATTTTTAGATAATTTTAAAACTTACTTTTGATATTCTTATAATCATTTTTATTTGATTTTTCCAATTTGTTTACCCATTGCAAAATAAGTTTCAGAACATTGCGTGTACAAGTTTTGTATATTTAAAGGTTTTGGTCTGCCGCGTTTACATTTTGGTTAGTACAGAAACATTTAAATTATATATATATATAACTAGCGTATATATCTGCGTAATTTGCATTAAGTTAGCGTAGGAAGCCACAACAACGCCATGAGCCTATGAGTGCTGATCGTTGAGGGAGCAGGTCTGGTTCACCTTGAAGATGTTGGAGAGCTCGTCCAGCAGGGTCTCATAGCGATAGGCCACCCGGATCTCGGGCACATTGGTGCGGGTGATGTCGTTGCCCATGATGCCGTCCTCGTAGTAAACGGGTCCCAGCCACTGCTGCTTGATCTGTTGGTGTTTTAAATTTAAGTTATAATATATAATGGGATAGATTATACTATAACTAAGTTGGAAACCTACGGCATGGGGGAAACCACTCATTATCACACTGTTCCTGGCCAACTCGCACATGTCGCAGGAGCTGAGCTTCCACACTTGGGCCGCAATGCTGTACTCCTCCATAAGGGGTTCCTGAAACATAAAATAGTAAATTGATTTTAGTAGGAATTTAAAAACACAAATAACCCCCATTAGATCAACCCACCTTGGTGAAGTGGAATTGCAAGGGGTCGTCCGTGGAGAGGGAGATGATGAGACCCCGGGCCAAGTACTCAGGGAGCGGATTACGATGGTAGTTGAGGAATAGCGAGTTGTTGGACAGCGGCGACATGGCGATTCCGATCTGGGTCAGATAATACAGATACTGCAGCACGGGCACCTTGCGGAGCAGGAGGCCGTGGGAGATGTTCTCGGCCATCAGGAAGCCACACACTAGATGCTGCACGGGTCCAGCCTCGCCGCAATGGGGCCGCAACACAAAGGTGTTCATACCGCGCGACCTGGAGGTACAGAGGTTATTGAAGGTAAGTAATATGCAAAATTCATTATATTTCATTGAAAGACACAATATACTAGAGTTTCAATTGTAAATAAAGGACTAAACAAACCAATTAAGGAAGCCTGACAAGGCCAATTCCAACAAGAGCTTTTCTAAAATAACCCCTTTTGATACGCTATAATTCCCAAATTGTTTTAGCTGAGTAAATTAGTATTTCAACGCTAATGAGCCAGATTGACTATGGTGAAACAAGTTTGCTTTAAAGCCTGTGTGGTCTATCTGTAAAGTGGCGACTTAGATTTACTTTAAAGTTACAATTGCCCTTAGAACAACTTCTCTTTGATAATTATTATTATGGTTAAAAAGCTTTTAAAATCAAGAAAAGCGAAATTTACATTTTTAGACTAAGATTTGTTACTCACTCTCTAAACTTGTTCAGCACCGTCATGTTGGCGTACATGTAGTAGATGTAGTACGCATACGGCGGATTCTCCTCGTAGGTCCATTCCTCCGGCCGGGGCACATCGTTGTCGAAGAGCGGATTCTCCGGCTTGGACTCGTCGTCCACCGAATCGAACCCAATGACGTACTGCAGGAAGCGGTGCAGATCCGGATGCTGGCTGGGTCTGGCTGTCGCCTCGAAGAGCGGCAGGAATATGTTGTTCAGAATCTCCTGGAATGACTTCATCATCTTGTTCGACTTGAAGATGTCGAAGAGACGTGGTATCTGGATCAGCCAGCGGATGTTCGAGCTGTACACATCATTGTCGATGGCCCACCTGGCCAGTTTGTTCCACTCATCTGGGGATTTGCCATAGATGGAGAGACGCAGCTCGGCGTTCTGGTACTTTGACTCCTCCAAATCGAAGGCAACTTCCTACATAAGCAATATTTAATAAGAGGTTCATGATTACAAATTGATTTAAATGGGATTTTATTTTTGATAAACCCACCTTTATGATCTGTGCAAAGTATTTGCCATTCAGATAATTGTCCGTCTTGAGGAACACCTCCCTGAGCCGCGACTCCCCGATGGGATTGTACTTGGAGTTGAACTTGTCGAAGCGGTGGAACGTGTTGCGATCCGCGTGCACGTCCAGCATGTCGACGGTCAGGTCGTAGGTGGTCAGGTTCATCGACTGGAACACCTGGGCCAGGGTCATCGCCTGGCCGTTGGTGTGGGTCACCACCTCGTTGGCGTTGTTCTTCAGCGTCTTCTTGATGAAGCGCAGCAGGTGCTTCTGGTTCATGCAGGATGCGGCATGGATGTGGGTGTCCACCTTGCGTGTGTTGTAGAAATCGCGATGCGGCACCGCCTTCTGGGCGGCCAGTTCCCGCAGCTCGTTGAGGAGCACGTGCATCTGGTACTTGGACGACAGATAGCACAGGCGACGATAGCAGAAGGATTTCCTATTCAAATACATTTCTTTTAAATAGGGTTTATAGGGCAGGAAGTGGGGGAAATACTTACAGTGGCCCATCGGCGATCATATTGCACATGACCTGCATGTCGTTCACAAATTGGCTCATGTCCGGATATGCGAACTTAATCTCACTGCTGTCTTCCTACAAAATCATAATTTATGGAGAATAAATATAGTTATTTTTTCCATTTTAATATACAGATTACAGAGAGGATATAAGGTGCCTATTATTAACATCTTATATGCCTGAGGTAGTACTTACGTCATTCTCGTAGATGTGAAACACTCCGTTGAGGGGCTTGATACGGAAATCCTCATCTTTGGGAAACTCCACGTTCCAGGGATTCGTTATCTTCAACTGCGATGGCCTAGCATGGACGTCTGCAGATCCTCAACAAGTGTGAAGCAATTCAAAGCGATTCGAGTCGAATGTAAAAATATTTTGAAAACAGAATTTTGATTAGTTGCAGGGGCAATTCGCGAAATTGTATTTGGTTAGTGGCGAAACTACACTCTACACTCAGGTGTTCGTGCGAGTGTTATTTTCTGTATTTGTGGGTGTTATTAAGGTGCTATAGGGTGGATCTGCAAAATCAGTTAACCAATCTCTTGTCGTTTTATATCTTTCAAAATATTTCAACCGTTAAAATTTATATTTATATTCAAAAACGTGAAATGTCAAAAATTGGGTTTTCAACCATTTTTCGCTCAAAAATGTCAGTATTTTTACGATTGCAATGCTAATTATTATCCAATAATGGAATGCCATACCTTGATGAACTCGTAACAAAATTTTAAATCAAGTTGCATTCACAGCTTTTTTTGTAAAATTTTTGAAAAAATTGATGATGACAACCATTGGAAAAATGTGCAAAATTGGAATTTTGACCATTTTTTGCTCAAAAATATCAGTATTTTTACGATAACAGGCTCATATAAGATTTAGTTCCACCCTAGTGCACTACTTAACTTTAAAAGTTTACTTGTTCTACGAGAGTTATCAAAGCTAAATAAGTCTTTCCTTTTGTACAAGGCTTTGCTTTGAAACTAACCAAAAAGATAGTGTCGAAGGCCGATTGTTCAACTTATATGCGGCTACAACATCAGTTCAAAGCATGGTGTTTGTTGTTTTGGTAAGCAAAAATAAAGAACATACAAGCAAGGTAATAAACTCAAAGCAAAACTTGCAAGGAACATTAACAAATTCAAAAAGAAACTGTCAAGCCGACAGAAAGGTGGCTTCTTCAATGCGTGCTGTGCCAAGCTGCAGTTTTGTGTGGCCAACATTATGGTTTTTGCAGCGAGAGCAATATCCGCAGTTTAGTGTGGCCAACTTTTCGATTTAAACATAAAACATAAAAGGTTAGTTTTTAATTATCCTCAATAAAAACAAGGGGTTAAACTCAAAACAAAGTAAAGTAAACCGTTCAAAAACCATTACGGTTAACTTAATTAGAAAACACATTTGATGATTATCTACAACATAATATATTTACATATATAATATAAAAGATAGTTGGCAACACTGTCTGCGTTGAAAGCAGGTTTGTGGTTCTAGTTTTGAGGTTGCGAGCGTAAAGCAAAACAATGCGCAGAGTAATATGGAGCATATATATATATGGAGCTTAACGGAAACGGAAATCAAATGTCAGGAAAAACAGAATTAAGAGGAGTTGTTCTTGTTGTATTTGAATCGAACTTGGTGGGAAAGTTGGATAGGGGGAAGAGGTAGCGGAGAAGTAGGGAAATCAGGTGTGCGCACGAATTACCTTGTATGTTCGTTACACTCATTTTGCGAATGATGTCTATAAGAAATAATGAAAAATACGAGAAGAGAAATAAATAGTCGATACAAAAACAAATTGGAACAAACAAAGGGCTAAAAAGGCTCAAACATATGACAAGTAACAAAGAGGGGAAATTTGTATGTAAAATTTTAGCTCTAAATAAAAAACAGAGGACTTAAAACGACTGGAATTTAAACGAAATGGAAGGAGACACGAGCAAGGCGGTAACTGCTAATAAGTAGGCGCGAAAGACACGGACACACGAGCAGGGCTCTAAACTTTTAAACTGGGTGGCAACACCGCTGAGTACAGTTTACACAAAACACACGCTAATATAAACTTGTATTATACAAAATTCACTTGATAGTGAATTAATTGCAATAGATTTATGATTTGGTGCATCACAACAATTAGGCACATCTGTGCCATTTTGTCTTTTTATACATATTTACACATATACGCTGGGCTGGGTCGATTTGCAATACAAATTGTTGTTATATTTTTTATATTTGTTTAATTATACAGTTACAAATTCCAGACAATTGCCCCACAAATAGACCCACTCCAAAGACTGCAATATAGGACTACGATACCATTGTACAATGGGTAATAAGAGAAGGATCTGGAATTTGGGGCTATTCTTCTGGGGAAAGAGGCTTGAGTTCATGGATTAGAACTACTTACTAGACACCTCCTTGACGGGCAGGTTGTTGATGCGATCCTTGAGCTTCACCGTCTTGAGGAACCGCGCCGTGGTCGAGGGGAACGACTGATCCGACATGGCCATGTAGTGGCTGCGCATGCGCAGTGCTTCGATCAGCAGAGTCGAGGCCCGCTCCAAATCCTCGAGGGGAACGCCACTGGTGTCCTCCCCCGAAATGGACACCCGCTGGAAGTTGATGTCGGCATCGTTTCTGTCCATGTCCACGGTGGACTCCTGGCCTTCGGTGCTGCTGGATGATTCCCTGTGCGTGGCCAACACGGTGGCCGGCACCACGGGCCTGGATCCTGTGGCCTGCCTGAAGAAAGTAGGTAGGAAATACGAATATTATATAGATAAACTAACACACAAAACAAAAAATAAGCAGTTGATGAAAGCCCCGCACAAAGGGAATCAAAGTGACTATCAAATAAAAATTTTAAATAAAGCCATTTAATTTCTTTCAATTTCACTTCTAAGACTATATTTTATTTAAAACAATCTTAGCAGTTTTGCTATTAAATCATTAAGATCTTGATTGATAATATGATTTTGTGATAATCGTGAATTATATTAGCTACACAGGCTATGGATTAGATACTATTTTAGATCGCAAACTCGTAACTTATGATCACTTGAGCTGACTGACCATTTAGAATCCTCGGGCTGATACTCGTAGCAGCGCCCAAAGCTGTAACTGTCATCCGCGAAGGACATCCTGCTTTGACTAGTGACCACCGACGAATGGAGCACTCCGCTCCGGGGTTTCCCCTGCGAAGGGTCCTCTTTCGGTCACCCAAATGGTAATGATCGATTGACCAGTTGATTTATGGCAATGCGAAGCTACCGATTGCCGCTAATTTGCAATCCGGCACGCTAGCAGAATACCTCTGACAAACCCCAAACCCATTTATTTGGGAAAGAAAAGTTGTTGCGACAAATTGCGTGTCTTAAGGAACTTCCTAATCTAAATAACTATACTTCAATTGTCCTTTGGCTTACTACAAAATTCTTACAATGGGGAGAACTATTCATATTTATTTTTATTAATTGTTGGTTAATGACCCGCTTTAAGACGTCTTCAAGTAAATTAAAGTCACCTAAGAAAAAGTGGCTGCGGCAAAATTCTATAAATTCTCCGAACTATGGAATTTATCTAATTTACTTTAAATATTTCGGATCTTGTCAATAATAACCAAATAGAGGAGTATAATGGTTAATTGAACCCAGAAACTATTTTCCTAAAAGAGATTTTTCCAAAACAATTTCAATTTTACATCTTTGTTCTCTAGAATTTTTTGTAAAGTAGAAAAGGTTTTATTTGTTGGCATTAATTCACTTCAAGAATCCCAAAACAACTTTCTTCAACACTTTAAGTAAAGTGTTCGATTTAACTCGCACTAAAATTTGTAGTTTTTGCCCCCCCAAACTTGACAATTTCCTCGGTTTTTGGGAACTTTTTTTTGTTTATTGGTAAACCCCCTTTATTTTTGCTGGCGTGCAGAACTTGTCGGGATTCGCGCTTTAAGCCAAAAAACTTGAAGTGTCCGCGCGAGTTGGAAAGTTTTCTGCGACGCCGCTTCTTGGTTTCTTTTCTATATTTTTTTAAGCGTCGCCTGGCGTGCGACACGAACAACAACGATGGTGGATTTTAGTGGGGCAGTGGGCGGCGGTCTACTGGGTGCTTTCCCTATAAAGAGGGCTCAATGTCAGCGGAGGTCGCCCAGGCAGGTGGCAGGTGGCAGGTGGCAGAAGGTAGTTGCTAGTTGGCAGATGGCAGGTGGGACACTTTGGGCCGCGTTTCGCGCCGTTGAGCTGCCCGTTTATTGGATCGGAGCGTACTGAAAGTGACGGCATCCGTGCCAGAACTCAGTCCACGGAGGTGCCGCTGCTGGCAGCGGTTCTTCCAACAGTTCCATTCGGTGGTGGTTCGTTATGCCATAATCCCCACCACCACCACTAGCACCACCATCACCACCATCACCACCACTATTTGGCATGGGCGAAAGTCCGACACCGGACTTAGCTGCCTAATGCAGTTCCATTCAAAATCAAAACGTGTTCTGCATCGGTCCGCACTTTCGCCGGGCCAAAACCCGAAAGCCCAAACCCGGACTCGGACCCAGACACAAACCCACTTTGGATTAGCCGGAAAAGAGGCACTCCACCTTCACACCACCTGCACACCACCCACCTGGGAACCTGATAATTGCAACATGTGCGGTTGCCTCATTACGAGGCTATAGAAATGGCTCAAAGATGAAACCCACACAAAGCAACATTTTAAAAACATATTCTAAATACTACAAAAAAATGCATTTTCAAGACTGTATTTCTCAATTAAGTTCTGTTTAAAAAAAAAGAAGCGATAAATTCGCCATTTATTAAATGAATATTATCCAATTTATATTATCCAAATAATTAAACAAAAAAAATCGATATTTTTAATAAATAACAAAACATAATAATTTTTAAAGTACTTTCTTTGATTAAAATCTAGCGCAATGTTTATGTTTTGATGTCTGTTAAACTGGAAAACATTGAATTTTGATGTTTTCGTTTATTATAGATAAGATATTGTTCAGAAAAACAATGAAATATTGTTTTGATTTCTGAAATATTTTTCCACTGTGCAATTGGAAACGGGATGGGATGGTATTTTGGCCTTGAAAACGAACTGACCTTAAAATAGACTAACTGATAAGCATCCAATCACGAGATCTGTTTTGTCTGGTGCTCATGTAAAGTAAACAAATCAAAACCGAACCAGAACCGATTTAGGTACGGATCTGATTAGTTAAACTAAACAATCAGTTGAGCGAACAAAGCAACAAAACTAAATGTATTTTAATAATTTTCAATTGTGATTTGCACAAAGTAATAAAGCTAGGGAAACATCTATCTAGATATTATATAACATGTTCTTTAACTGTAAGTAACGGGTATCTCCAAGTCGGGGCCTTTGACTTTAGCATTTTTTATTTTTTTTGTAGTCTGTGGTCTTAAATATTAAACACAAAAAATGTTATCTTTTCCATTAACTTGTCATAAATTTAAATTGTTCGATAAAGTCTTACAAAGCAGGAGCTCACTGTTCTTAAGCTGATGATTTTTTTATATCGAAAGTGAACAATAATTTTTGGTAATATATAATAACTTACATTTCCGAAACGTACTGTTTCATTAATTGTTGATTGTTAATTGTTTTAATCACTTTTTGTTTCCCTACTTGTAAATCAAGCGAGCTCGTAAGGCAGGTTGAAAATTCTAACAATAACTGATTAAATTTAAATGGAATCTTAATGTTTTATACCTTTCATCAGAGAACGCTTTGCAATTTTGCTGATAAGCCACAAATAAGCGAGCCTTTGTCAAACTATTTCAAAAATCTCTTGTTATTTTTGTAACTTTTTACATTATTTTGATAACATAAAAATAATATGATATCATATGATATGAAAAGCCTGAATATAAAGATTGCTGCGCTTGAGAGATATTAATTTTGAAATGGATTTTAAATTTATAACCAGACGATTACAAATTTAAATAAAAATGAAATACAAATATATGTTATTGTTTCTCTTTTACTCACTTTTCATTGAGATGACGCTGGATTTGCAGCTTCTTTTCGATCTGTTCAATGGGAAATTGTGGCACCTCATATGGAGCCGAGATCTCGTTGGTCACCTCCACATCAGTTTCGGCCTTCTCATCGACTGGGGAATCGGTGAGATCACCTGAAAAATAAGAAATAACCATTTGAATTAGAATTAGAATGAGCGATTGAGACTGATGGTTGAGACGACTATGTGAAAGATTTAATAGCATTTTCTGATCTTATACCATATATCTACCAGTGACTATTCCATTAATCTTAAAGAACCTACTGAGATCGTCCGACGAGGAGGTGGGCGTGGCAGTGGCGGGGCCCGTATCGTTCAGCTGATTGCCCATCGGTCCGCCGTAAAGTCGGACATCAACGCGTAACCGATGAGCGGTATCCATGCGATTGAAGTTCATGGCGAGAAATGCGAGAAAATGCAGAGAAAAAACCGGAAAAGTGGGGATCGTAGCCAAAATGTTGAAGTAAACTGGGCGAGAGTTGTCGGCTCAATGAAATGGGAAAACATCGAAGATCGGCGAATTCCAGGCTGAGATCTACCGACGTCAGCAGAGGCAGCGACTGCGACTTCGACTGCGACTGCGACTGCAGCAGAGACGCATCATCTTTGACAAGAAAAACATCCACACAAAATATATTGGCGATTGCCAATTTGTAGGCAAGCAACAACATGTTAAAAGCAGCTATACGCTGGGAAAAATTCGCAAAGCCCCAAAATTCTTGAAAATATCGCTTGGGATTCCAATATAAATTTACGTCTGTAATTGATATGTTCCCATCATTAATCTAAATTCATAAAATTTCATCATATCATTTTTATATAGTTGTATATTCTTTCAGTGTAAAACGAGAGAGGGCAAGGGAATGCGAACATCACCAGGAGAGATAGTGAAAATACTGACAAAATCAAAACACGAAGTCAACAAACAACAAACAAGATGAGAAGACTGATTGGAGCGATTCGAAGTTGAAATACACTTTAAAGTCAAACACCACAATAAATTGTTATCTCTAAATTGAAGAAACCCGAGAAGCACTTAAAATATTTAATCACATCATGTAATAATTTTAATTGTAGAAATTAAAAGCTGTTTTTTTTTTGCATTAGGAACGGAGATACAACAAAGCTAATTTAAGTGATACAATTTAAGCAGGTTTATAATCACTAATGAAAGTGATATTATACCAAGAATTTCTTTTATTTTAGCTGATAAAATTATAAGCGCTTAATAATCTTTGCTTACTTTAAGAATTTTATTCCAAAGAAAGTGTTCCCATTAAAAAATATAGACAAAACGCTTCTAGTTTTCAAACTACTCTTGTACAGGGTACGACAACTTTCCTATATTTTTATATAGGTTAGTGAGACTCGACAGATAATGCGACCGATAGGCAGCGCAGCGGCAGAAAAACACCACAGCACTGGAAAAAAACCCACCACCATTTAAAAGGTATATTACTTTGTAATTCTAAAATGTAACAAAAATAAACCAAGGTAATACAAGTTGTATGTTTTAATTCCATTCTGTTTCTAACTTCAAAACGGTTTTCCACAAAATTTAAGATTTCTTCAAATGCAAGGCTTTGTTTTTAGTGTAGCGTATCTTTTTTGTTAAGCTTAGTGCTACAGGTTTTTTTAAAAGAGAGAGAAAGAGTGCTTTGCTTTGTGCGTGGGAGAGTGAATGTATTTTGCTTTCTTTTTGCAGCACACAGTGGGAGTCCCACAGAGAGGCACCAAAAAAGAGAGTGACCCAGCGGGGGGTGGTAGTGGGTGGTGGGTGGTGTGCGATCACTGTTCAGTCAATGCAGAGAACAAAACGTAGCAATGTTTGTTCCAAATTTCACAACAATTATTTTCTTTTATAGAGATGGATACTACAGAACTTAAATGGAAGAATTAATGAACAACATAAGCCATCAAATATTATAATGTGTTATTATAATATTAGCCCCAATGTAATATTTCTTTCTTTTTGAATTTGTACAAAAGTTTAAAAAAGTTACAATTGGTATTTACGTTGCTCGAACCCTTTTTTATGAATCATTAATTTCAAAATAATACGTATACGTAATTTTGATATATTTTCTGAATACCAAATGCTATTTAGATATTATTAATTATTAATTAATACGGTTTTTGATTATCTATGTTCATATCAACTGGGTATGCTCTGTATAAAAAATACTATAAAGTTAATCACAACGTAAGAGTTTTTTTTCTGTGTAATATATTCTATAACTAATGAGAGGAAGGTGGCTCGTTTTATTCAATGGAGCCGCCTTCTTGTCTTAAAACTAATGCCAGTACTTTCTGCGTCGCTGGGACGTGAAGGTCAGTGGGTGGCGGGTGGCGTTGGTGCATTCACTTACATACGCAGCGATTGGGGGTGGCCCTCTGGGGCAGGGGGCTCAGCTTGGGGGGCATGGTCATGGAGGGGGCCGTGTGCAGGCTCTTCCCGCTGGCCTTCTTGCCCAGCTGCCCGGCGGCGGCGGCGGCGACATTGGAGGTCGGGTGGGACATCATCGCTCCGTCGAAGGAGTCCCCATCCTGAGCCCGCAGCTCCGCGGACGTGTCGTCCGAGGTGCTCAGCATTCCGCGGTACGACATCTCGGCGGATCCGGGGATCCTGATCGCAACCTCTGTGTCCTCCTGTTGTCCCAATCCAATCTTTGTGCGAGATTTATTCGGTTTTTGTGTGTTCGATGTGTGTTTACTAAATTGAACTGAATTTTCTTTTTTTTTTTTGACTTTCCGGCTGGGGTTTTTGTGTGAGTGTGTTTTATGTAATTCTCCCGGTGACAGGTGTCTCCGCTCGGCTTTTGCTGATTCCGCCTCTGGGGAACGTCTTTGGGCAACTGTCGGATCGGATCGGTGGACTATATACCGCCCGCGATCGGCTGCACTTAATTTATTCTGAATTCCGTCCGACGCAATTCGCGCATCTTCTACGCGCTTGTCTTTTTCGCCTTTGTTTGTCCCCACTTTTCCTCGCTTTTCTCTCTTTTTCCGCCGTCTCCTTCTCTATATAGAATTCACACCTCTCCCGATCCGTAGATCCAAAGTTTATATATCGGGTAAAGTTAATAGCGAGCTTTCGGCGCTCGCATCAACAACACAGAAAGCTCGGAAAGCCCACAATGTTTGCTAATTATAAACAATATTTTGGATAAACAAAATCCATATTGA